AATAACCTCATATGCATGTGAAAGCTGGACAGTGAATAAGGAAGACCGTAGAAGAATTGATGCTTTTGAGTTATGGTGTTGGAGGAGAATATTGAAAGGGCCATTGGCTGCCAAAGAACCAGTAGATCCATTTTGTAAGAAGTGCAGCCAGAGTGCTCCTCGGAGTCCACGATGGCCAAACTTCCTCTCATATACTTCGGACATAGTGTCAGAAGGGACCAGTCACTGGAGAAGGATATCATGTTTGGTAGGGTGGAGGGTCAGAGAAAAAGAGGAAGACCCCCAACAAGATTGATTGGCCAAGTGGCAGCATCAATGGACTCAAATGTGGCAACAGTAGTGAGGTTGACCCAGGATCAGGCAGTGTTTCATTCTGCTGTGCATAAGGTTGCTGTAAGTCAGTACCGACTCGATGGCACCTAACAAAACCAACAACAACTTTGAGGAGGTAACTCTTCCCCAGTAATATCTTGAGTGCCTTCCAACCTGAGTGACTCATCCTCCAACAATCTATCTGAGAATATTCTGGTGCTCTTCATCATGTTTCAATGCTCAATAATCTGGTGCTGATACTGTTCCATTGATCATAAGGTTTTCAGTGAATAAATATTCAAAAGTAGTCCATCTCTCCTGCTTCCTAATCTGTCTTCACCTGGAAGCTCAGCTGAAACCTGTCCACTCTGAATGACCCTGCTGATATCTAAAACGCAGGTGGCATAGCTTCTAGCATCACAGCAACAGGCAAGCCGTCAAACCGACAGACAAGTGGTGGTGGTGGTGGTGGTGTGCCATGGAGTCGGTCCTGACTCATAGTGACCCTGTACAGGGTTTCCGAGGCTGTAAATCTTTACGGGAGCAGAAAGCCTCATCTGTCTCCCATGGAACAGCTGGTCATTTCGAACTGCCAACCGTGAGGTTAGCAGCCCAATTCCTAACCATTTCACTTCCAGAGCTATAGACAAGTTGTTGTTGTTGTTAAGTGCCGTCAAGTCAGTTCCAACCCATAGCGACCCTGTACAGGGTTTCCGAGGGTGTAAATCTTTACGGGAGTAGAAAGCCTTATCTTTCTCCCACGGAGTGGCTGGTAGTTTCGAACCGCTGACCTTAAGTTTCGCAGCCCAAGTCGTAACCACTACGCTACCAGAGCTCCTTAGTGGATGGTTAATTGTTGCAGACTGCAATCACTGAGATGTTGAGGCCCTGTGTCATGGACGAAAAACCAATACAGCGGCGCCACTCAGGCTTGCTAGCCAGGGACCCTGAGGGCCCAAGGAAGTAACCTCCAGACGTCCCGGGTTCATTGGCTTTTACAAACTCACTGTTGGGCTAGCTCTGTATAATTTGTTTTAGTCCTATTAATTCATTCTATGCTTCGAACTCCAGTAATTGTAGCTTCTGAGAAAATGGTTTCTTATGTGCCTCTCTTAATGTCTCCACTATGTTGGCAGTGCTTAAGGTTCTGGGAACAAATCTCTCTGAGGAACAAACTCTGGCCACCTGGCAAGTATGTCCAAACTGTTCGTTATCAAATTGTTCAGTTATGTTTGATATTAACTTAATACATGAGCCCTTGATACCCATGGACAAATATTAAAACAAAAATCTCTTCTAAAGCTGAGGCCTAAAAGTTCCTAGGGCAAGTTTGCTGGGAGATGCTGGAGAAAAAATTCCCCTAAGGAATTCACTCAGAGTAGATTGGTGACTTCCAGGGTTTTGTCCAAAGAATAATAGCAACAGCCATTAACATAGGTGTCCTCCTTTCTCCTACAAGGCTCGGCCAGGTAGCCGAAACAGCTGGACTCCTTTCAGACCTTTTGAATCCTTTTCTCACTGAAGGTTAGGTGCTATAGGTATGTTAATTAGGCTTGAGAAACCAAGTTGCTGCCTTGGGATTCAAACCTAAAAAGTACTATATAAATTTGCTTGAATTTCTGGAAAATTGAAGATGTTAGATTATCAAGACAATTTGTGATGTATGTTTTAGAATTTGTTCCTGTAAATCATTGTGTCCTGTTTTGAACGATTAATCACATTTCACTTCTGTACCCTGTCTTAATAAACCCCGCCTTCCTTTGTGTAAAGCTCCTCCCTGCAATAAAAAGGAGGCGCAGACTGAAGCCCGCATGCATTATGGCTTGCAGGGCATGCATTACGGGCAGGCATTGCAGTTGGCAAGGTGTACATACTGCTTGCCTATCCATGAGGTTTACAATGCAGGATCTGTCTGATGCCAGTGTCGCATCCACTCTGGTCTCAGGTTGTCTTCTTGGCTCTCTTGTTGTGTCTTTGTGTGTATTCTTTCTCTATCTCTGTCGCCGCCAGATCTCCCTACTTCGTGAACCGAACCCCCATGTTGAGGCCGGTTCTCAACAGTTAATTATAGATCACGGAAAACAAAAGAAATTGTCAAAAATTATGATTGGTAGCAGATCATTTCATCACAGTCGAAGGTGGGATTATGGAAGCAGGAAAGCGACCATGACTGGGATATGTACACTGTTGAAGATTAGAAAAGTTTACAGGGTTGTTTCTAGGCCCTCCGACCACTTTGGTTGGGGTATAACTTAAACAGTAATTTCCATTAAGAACACACCTAGGCAAGACTGTTCTTCTCTAGACTGGCTCTGGGAGTCATAATCTACTTTCAAGCATACTCTGCCTGAGAATGAAGCCTTTTACATTGTTGGTTAAGGGTCAGAATGAACTCAGTGGGGTCTGAATTTAAGTCAAGACTCAAAATGGAGTTATGGCTTCCACTGTAAACCATAG